GCACCGGTGCTCCTAAAAAAATGTTTATAGTCGCACGCAGTAGTTTTCAGTCGCAGATGCCGTGAACCGTGATACAAACCGAACCGTGAGTAAGTTGAACCGTTCCAGCCCTAGTGTATATCCACATGCGTGCACACAGTGTCCTCCCCTATCTGTTCCTCTTATCATCTTAATGTTTCCTTAGTGGCTAATCAAAAGACCCGCCACTCCCTGATTGGCTGAGCTTATCCTCTGTCATTCAGCGACTCACGCGATATGTGTTCGTGTATTTAAGGTGTGGTCACTGCAAAAACCTGGCCCCTACCTGGGAGGATCTATCTAAAAAGGAGTTTCCTGGTCTGACTGATGTGAAGATTGCTAAAGTGGACTGCACCGTGGAGAGAACGCTCTGCAACAGATACTCTGTGAGTGCAGCTCATTTAGTCTGGATCTCAGTCACATTTTTATTCCCTGATGGGTGGCAGCGAGAGTAACAAGTCTTGTGGATTGTGAATGTTTGAGGGATGGGGTCAACATAATTTCATATTAGTGGCAGAGAGTCATTTTTTGAAATTAGGTCTTTTTTAAGCTTGTTCCAAAAACTTGTGTGCTGCCTTTCTGTCTACTATGAACTATGAAATTACTATGAAAATGTAACAAATGTTTCTATACAGGTTTCAGTTTCATTCCATCTAATGATTCTAGTTACAAATCCTTCCATTAATGATTTTTTTTTTACTTTTGATAAAGCGAAGTCCTTTTTTTTCTTTTTTATTAAGTGCATACACAATAAAAAGTGCCAGTTTTTATTTGTATTAGTTTTAATATTTAGATATGATATTTTAGCAACTTTTTGCCTTGGAAGCTGAAATTGCGTTCAATTATAAACAAACAAACCGAACCTCATAACTAGATTGATTTGGAGCGCTCTCCGCATGGTGTGACTCAACGTGACCAACTACTTCCATCGACATTTTGAAGTGTGTATACCTATGCACACTTTTCTATCCCTGAGTTGTGAGTGGCAGTAAATAACAAAACGGAAGCAGGTCACATGACAAAGCCAACATGGTGGATCTAGTACATCCAGATTTTGTTTATGCAACATACATTCATGCTATATCGAACATACGTTTTTTCTTTCCCAAATTTGTTCCAAATCAAATAGCTACTCTGAAAGGATCCAGTTTGGCTTGGCTTCGTGTTTAATTACTACACACAATTTAAATGTATGTAAATATTTGGTCATTGTTTTCTATAGGTGCGTGGATACCCAACTCTCCTGATGTTCCGGGCGGGGCAACAGGGGGAGGAGCATAATGGAGGGCGGGACTTAGAGAGCTTGCACAATTTTGTTATGAAGCAAGCGAGAGATGAGCTGTAACTCCTCCCTCATTTTCCATCTCGAAACACATCCTCCACAAAGCAACACTATCTACATTTACCATACTGTCAAATGGACTGCTTTTTCTTCATTTCTGTCCCTCATCTGCTAAAGTGAGCAGTCTTTTCCACATGACAAAATGTGAATGTACACGATTTCATCTCTGATCAGTTGATGAGATTATTAGCGATTACAACCACAGACTTTTGATTTTACCCTTTCTCCATTAAAATAACAGCAGTATGATTTAAACAATGACACTGTTAAGATCGTTACATCATTTAAGGTGCGTGTTTTGTAAGTTATATTTGAGGAAATTCAGCTTAGTTTGCTATCAGCTAAGAAAATATGACCTCAGGGAGACCATGTACCATTTAAAGAAAACAATGACATGCACCTGCTGTGATTTCTGTTTTTTTGTTTTTTTCCCTCCATTCAGTGTAAAATACTATATGATACACACTTGCAAACAGCACTTTGACCATGTACATGGTTTTTCTGTTGGAGTTTCAAATGTTTCTGTTGTGGTCTTAGGTTTTGAAATGGTTGTATCGTTCAGAAGATTAAAAAATTATTAAATAAACCAGACTAAGGTAGTTTGTTAGCCAGACTGGGAGACCTGCTTAAACCAGCCAAGATTCAGATGGTTCAGATGGTTGGCCGTAATTATCAAACCAGGCCAGTCTTAACAAGTTTGATGGCCAGCAAACCACATTAGGCTGGTTTAACATCTTTGGTTAATTTGTCTTATAAAGCTTCTTAATATTCTTATAGGCATATGAATGGGGTAAATACGTTTAGACATATCCCCAATATTGCCATTATGTAATACTTTTTTGTAATTTCTCAACACTCAGCAAAGTAAGACAATGCAAAATAGATTATTTTTTGCTGTATAATGACGGTTTATGGAAATATGGTTTACTTACAGTAGAGTTTGTGAAAGGTTAAAACGTTTATGGTACAGTATTTTTTTTTTTGTCTTAGATTATTCTTCAGATGTGGCTTTTTTTATTTTTCCCCATGTCATTTTTCCTTTGATTAGGTTTGTCTTTTAGACTCTCTGTTTGAGACGCACTCTTTTTTTTCCCCCCTCTGTAATTCAGTCTTGATGGCTTTCACATGCAGTCAACCACTTTTAATATTATTAGTGAACTGCTTAAAACACTTTGAGATGGTGAAATTCAGACACTAGCGTCGCCTGGTATCATTGCTTGAAGAATGCTGACAGACTTGTATGTGTTCTCTAATGCTCTCCGGTGGTTTCATTGATTTAAACAAATGTAATTAACATTTTTCCTTTCAAATATTCCCACACCGAGATGTTTATTTTTCTCTTTTACTGGATCTGAAAGAGAAGGAAGGGAAAAGCAATCAGAGAAACCGCATATATTCAGTGAAGTCTTTATGGGAGGCACATGGTCAAGGCCGAACTTACTGAAAAATGCAGTATTTTTGTCCTGTGTGAGAGGGGTACACGCACTGCCTGGGGGTTTTTGTACAAAAAAAAAAGCCATGTTGTCACAAATTTCATAATAAAATGTCTTTTTCCAAAAATAGCAGTTTTTAATTGTTCCTTTACTCTTGTTATATGATCTCTGTGCTATAGGATTCATAAAAAGAACAATAAATAAACGGTAAAATGTACAAGTATTTACACACAAGCATCCAAATACGGCTGAGACGTAAACAGCAGTTTATGGGAGGTATGTGATATAACTAGGAATAGGAGTTGGAAAAAAATTGACAATATTTTGAAAATTGTTATACTTTTTACTACCCTCAAATTCAATTCTTTGCGGCAGATTTTGAGTACAGATAAGCCTACTGGCAACCAACAGTACAACCCAATACCATAGTGATGTGGCCACTGTCAATGTGAACCAAGCAGTCGAGGTTTGGCTGGCAGGCATGGTCCTGTTGGCTTATTGGAGTCCTGTGCCAGTGAGATGAATGGAAATGCAAACAGCATTAAAATGTGACTAAACGTAACTGAATTATTTGGTTTCAGTATTGGTATAAAAATTGAAGCAATTATCAATTCCCAAATTACAAAAGGCAAATACAAAATATATTGCTACAATGCTGATAATAGACCTATGTTGCCTGTCCAGCAAGAGTTTTGTACCATTCAATGGCTCACAGTGGAAAAAAAGGATTGACAGCTGCATTTTAAAAAATGTTTGACAATAAATAGACATGAGATGGTGGAAAATCTACAGCCCATGTGAGTACGATGGCACAGAATACAAATTTAATTATTTGTAGGTCCTCATGTATTATGGGGAGTTTTGGATGTAAGTCATCCGAGGTGCAGGTGTTGCAGGGAAATTATAGATCTGTGGTGTCAGACGGCATCAAATTACAGTTCCATCCTTGGAACGGCAGCATAATGGTTCCGTTCTTTGAGTTCTGTTGAAGTGTGTAACCACTGGCTCTGACTCACAGATGCAAACCACAGGTAGTGCAGAGCAAATATTGAGAAACTTAAAATAATTCGATTTTTTGAGACCTAAAATAGAGTCCTGTGGTTCAAGTGACTTCATCAAAAAATACACAAAGCAGTAGAAAGTTTCCTGTTCTGATTTCTGTGCTTTGGGACATAGTCATTTATAAGTTTCAGATCTTAAAGAGGTCATATCATGAAGAATCAAAGTTTCTTTTGAAATAAAAAAGCTACAGTAACTTTCAGAACTCAAACTGTCTATTTATATTGGGGAGGAAGTTCCTGAAAGTTGCAAAAAAATGATTTGTTTTGAACTTCTGGAACTTTCAAACATTAGAAAGATACAAAGTCTAGTCCAAAAGGCACAGCAAAAAAAAAGTATCCCATTTAATTCCAAGGATCAGAATGTGGGTGGGGAAAAAGTCATAAAGAACTGATTTGACTGTTTTGTAAAAAGTAGACCTTACTTAGAAAATGAAGTGATAATGTTATGATGCGACCCCTTTAAATATTTGATAAGTGAAACACAATTTTAAATACAGACTGCATTTTAGCTCATAATTTACATTTTCTTTATGTGTCTTTGTTTTAGACTTAAGGCATCAAGTTCATTTTCTGTTTATAGATTCACATGAACATCCTCTTGGCAGTTTGTAGGATCCGAAATGTCACGAGAAATGGCCATGTGTGTAAAAATGAGAAGCAGCAAACTTGGATCTACCGTCGAGACATTCTCTCACATATTTTTTTTTCATAATGCTTGCTTTTCGCATCTGTCTTTATTTCGTTTTGTCAGTCCTGTCTCTGCGGTGCAGCGGTCGGGCAGGGCGACACGTGTCCCTTGTGTCAGTGGCAGCCGCATGCGCGCACCACCATGTTCTTGTATTTTTTCAGAATGACGTTGGAGTTGTCGTCGTAGTAGAGCACGGAGATTGCATGCAGTTTGGTGGGAGCGCAGCATGGTTTTGGAACGTTCTCTGGATTCATGAGATGGACCTGAAAAGTGGAGCAAGATATTGTTTTACACTCACTACTGTGAAATAAACTTTAACAATACTATTTCTGTTAGGTCTGGTATTTATGTTATAAAGCAGGACTCACCAGTGTCTGTACTATAGCATGATTAGTAGCATTCATATGGGCGTTTAGGGGAAAAGAACATTCTCCATCGCAGTAGTTTGCTGCATAGCCCTCGGGTGCAATAATCCAGTCCTGACAAACACATATATTTAAATCAAAAGGGATGCTCACACTAAAAATTGTTTTAAAATAGATGAAACACTCATTCGGGATAATTATTAATAATTTGTTTTATATCCAAATGACCGCTGAAGGCTGATCCAGTTTGAGATTTGCAATAACGATTATGCAGATGTTCTTCATCTTTACCTGCCAGCCCAATTCTCTGAAGCTGACGTACAGTTCATGCTTTCTGCAGGCGGTCTTCTGATCACTGCTGTTGTAATCTGCTATATACAGAGAAGAGAGACATTAACGTCTGCTAGGTCACAGTATAACATACACTTTTTTTATTTTATTTTTTTTTTATACTTTCATAGTCAATTTGTCTTAAAGGGATCCCTTGTGAAAAAGAAGTGTGCTTAATTGTATTGACTTCAAATGTTAAAGGCATATTAAAAAATGCACTTGCAGATAATATAATAATACAATAAATACACATTTAAAACGTACTTTGTAATAATGTTACTGTATATATTAAGTTAAATATTGGACTTTAAAGTACATTTTAAATGTTTTAATAGTCTTTTGTTGCACTTTAAAGATGTACACTTGCTTTGATGTGTTGACTAACATACTAAAGCACAGGTAAAAAGTACTTGATTATAATTTTAACTGTAACTGAGTTATTTGATATTACAGTTGGTGCACCATATATATATATATATATATATATA